GGCCTGCCATGTTGTCCACACTCGCTGCACAGGAGCGGGACTGCCACTGATATCCACACTCCCTGCATGCACAGGAGCGGGCCTGCCACTGCTGTCCACTCTCCCTGCATGCACAGGAGCGGGCCTGCCACTGTTGTCCACTCTCCCTGAGGAGACACTGACTATATCTTTACTGACTTTTATTGAAAGAAAAATGTTGGTAAATCGAATTCAAATCACAATCATTTGACTTCTAGGCATGAATTGGTGGTGAAAGGAAGTGCAGCTGGCCGCCACCAGGGCCTCTGGAGACAGCTGAAATGGATAAAGCCCATCTGCAAGATGGCTGTCCGGAAAAAAGCTGGGGCAGAGGGGTCAGCTGAGGAGTGTGGGAGGCAGCTGTGACAAAAACTGGGCACCTGTTCTAGAACTGGCTTCGTCTGCTTCCATTTGTATCATTCGTCACTGCGCAGCACCTGGAAAGTGGACCGCAGGGCATCACGGCACCTGCCTTTCCTGCAGTGCTTCCAACTCAGATGGGAGTTGCTTCCTCAGGGGCTGCAGATCCGGGACAACACCGAGGGATCTGCTCAGAGTGCTGCTCTAGCGACTTGGGGCTCTGCATATTTCTGGTTTCTGCTATATCCTGCACGTGCCATTGCCCCCCCCCCATATCCCGCATGTGTCACTGCCCGCTATATCATGTACATGTCACTGCCCGCTATATCCCGCACGGATCACTGCCCGCTATATCCTGCACGGGTCACTGCCCCATATATATGTGTATAGATATATATATGTGTATATATGCACATGCCTGTGGGTGTGGAGGTAAATGAAGGTGCCCACAGGGTCCAAACGGATTGCCAGATCCCCTGGAGTTGGAATTACAGGCATTAGGGAGCCCGATGGGGGTGCTGGAACCAAACTAAGCTCTTCGGCAAGCAGAGCATGATATTAACTGCTGAAGCATCTCTCCGGTTTCTAAAATAGCATATTTTAAAAGTAATTGTAAAGTTAATTAATGGATAATTATTTAAATCATAAGAAATTGTTTAAAGGGGTTAATTAACTGAAGTGCTCCTTCCCAAGGTGTTCCCTCTGTCAAGCAGAAATGAAAACTGTCTTAAGAATTTTTAACTTTTAAATTTATAGAGAAATCATTCTGAGCACACAAAAATCACAGAAAGCAAAATTTACCTCTAATTTCACTCAATACATATTAGTCTGTTGGGAAAACACCAAGAAAACACCTGCTCTAACTGTCAGGTTTGCAACCTGAATACCTGACAGGTTTGTATCCTCCTCCAAAACTCCAAATTGGAGCAACCCCAGGCCCTCCTATTTGCTTGTTTAGTTTGTGTTGGTTTCAGATAGAGCATTATCATGTAGCCCAGACTAGCCTAGCACACTCTATATTCCCACTTCCACCTCCTATGTCCTGGGACTAAAGATGTGATGCATCACGCTGGGATTAAAAACTGCTCTGTGACTGGGCTTTTAAAGCTATAATCTCCATAGCTCTGTTTACATAGGTATATAGTACGGAGGAACTAAGATGGAGGAGGGGGTCTTAACTAAGTGACAGAAGCAGGCGGATGCGCACAGGAAGGGAAAAGACAGTGGCTTACTATTGTGTCTGAGCAGAGGCTGGCGGGGGAGATACTGAAGAAGGAAGAGGACTTGGGCTGGGGTGAGGGGACACGTTACTGAGCACAGGAAAGGAATGACTTCATGGCTCATACGATGAGCTGGAAGCGCCTGGAGTCAGGGCTTGGACAAGGAGCTCTCCAAGTCAACTGGTGGATGCCACAGAGTGAGGAGGAAGGATGGAAGCTGGACGCCAGGTATCACGGGGCTGGTCTGAGTACCAGCTGGATGCCAGGTATCACGGAGCTGGTCTGAGTACCAGCTGGCACAGGGCAGCGAGGGAGGGGCAGACAGAGAATGGGGAAGAGGGAGCAGTGGCCAGAATAGGGCGTTAGTTTGGACAGGAAGCTTTGCTACAACAGGAGAGGAACCCATGTGGAACACGTGCATGACCCGTTATTTTGAAGTGTGCGTAGACATATCCTGGGATGTCTGTGTAGTTACAAACATGATTCTGCAACTAGAAGTGCTTGGAAGGACTCGGCAAACTGATCTTCGCTCAGCTCCAGGAAGAACCACGTCAGAGGAACTGATAACGTCACAAAGGGATTCAGAGTCAATGAGGTGCCATGCTTGCCTAGAACAGGACAGAGGATGTGGCAACAAACAACAAAAGGGTTTCTCTGGGAAAGAACGGAGGTGGGGAGGATGGTCCCCTTCCAGCCACGGTGAGGGCCCATCACCAGCCGCATACTTTGTGTCTCTTAGTCCACTGCAGGTACACAGCTACTGTTACACAGGGGCTGCAGTTACTTCCTGCACAGTTTCAAGGTGGAACAGGGCACACAAACACTTGCCTTCAAGTCTGAAGGGCAGACTACTAGAATCCAAGTTAAGGGTCCAAATTTGGTTCAAATTTAGCCAACTCCATACTAGTAGTTGCTAAGGAACAACAGCATCCCCTCGGCATGGACACTGCTTTCTGCTGTGAAGTTTGCTCCAACCACCAAGCCATCAGCAGATGATGTCCAAACACAAGTGTGATCCACTCTGCCTGGACTTGGCCTTCTACAGTGCCGTTCTCAGTTCACTTTGCTGAGGACAGCCTTGGTGAAGTGAGCACCAGACGTGTGTGTGTGTGTGTGTGTGTGTGTAGGGAGGTGCACGTTAGTTCTTCTACACCCTAGCATCCACAGTGGCTACAAGCTGGATGAGACCAGAAGAACTGTCAGTCAACAGAGTGGCATTTTTAAGGTACAAAGGGGTCAGGATAATTTTCCATGTAGCAAGTAGTGCAGGGTATTTTAAAGATGACAAAAAAGTGTGTATCTGTAAGCAGGCCAGGAAGATTAAAGAGATAATTATACAGAACATCACCGGCTAAGAGCACCAGCTGTTCTTCTAGAGGACCTAGGTTCAATTCCCAGCACCCACGAGGTAGCTTGCAACAGGGTGTTATACCGGATCCAATATCCTCTTCTAGTCACCAAATAAAACTAAATTTTAAAAAAAAATAAAACACCACAGAAAAGACTAAAAATGGCTTCATAGGTTGATCCTCCCAGTCTTAAGCAAGTTTCCTAGTGGGACATTTAAAAATTCCTATATCCTTCTCTGTTGATTCATCCATGATTTACAGCCAGGGGACAGCAAGGAAGCAAGCCCAGGGATCAGGAGGAGGACTGTGGAGCGCTGTGTTCTGGGCATGACCCACCTGCTGTGCTCATGAGCTCACAGCTGCAGTTAGCACAAGACCGAGCAAGATGGGACTCACCAACTTCGTCATGAATGGAGGGGTTCATGAGGGGTTATTTACCCCTCTAATGGCTAATGGCTGCTGGGCAGAGGAGAGTCTTTTTCTTCAGTGGTGTAGCCATTGATAAATTGTTCATGCACCAGTAAATAAGTCTTCACCAATGTTCATGCAAATATCCATAATTCCACACATGCACGCACGCACATACACACACACACACACATCTCACACTAAAACAAACAAGCAAAAAAAGCATTAAAGTAGGAGGAGGACTTGCTGAAAAGACATGCAAAAGTGGGTAGAAAGGAGAAAAGGAGTTATAAGTTGTTTTGGTAGGCTTTTGTTTTGTTTTGGTTTTGTTTGGTTTTTTTGAGACAGGCTTTCTCTGTGTAACAGCTCTGGTTATCCTGGAATTTGCTTTGTAGACCAGGCTGCCCTCAAGCTCACAATGATCTGTCTGTCTCTGTCTCCCGAGTGCTGGGATTATGGGAATGCACCACCACCGCTCAGGCATATTGCTTGCTTTTTTTAATGACCAGAATATCTTATAAACATGTACGAAACTGTCAAAGAATGAGTGAATCAATAAGCAAGTAAGCAAATGAAATAAATATTTAAGAGCAACAAGAACATTGGGATGCCCAAAAGATAAAATTAAAACTGAAAGAGTAGCTCATTCTTAAGGAAACAGACAATTTTTTATTGATTTTTATTGAGCTGTACATTTTTCTCTGCTTCTCCCCTCCCCTTCAACCCTCTTCCAATTTACTCAGGAGATCTTGTCTTTTTCTACTTCCCATGTAGATTCGATATATGTAAGTCTCTCTTAGGGTCCTCATTGTTGTCTAAGTTCTCTCAGATTGTGATTTGTAGGCTGGTTTTCTTTACTTTATGTTTAAAAACCACCTATGAGTGACTACATGTGATAATTGTCTTTCTGGGTCTGGGTTATCTCACTCAATATGTTTTCTAGCTCCATCCATTTTCCTGCAAATTTCAAGATGTCATTTTTTTTCTGTGGTGTAGTACTCCATTGTGTAAATGTACCACTTTTCCTCATCCATTCTTTGGTCAAGGGGCATTTAGGTTGTTTCCAGGTTCTGGTTATGACAAACAATGCTACTATGAACATAGTTGAGCACATGTCCTTGTGGCATGGTTTGAGCATCCTTCAGATATATACCCAAAAGTGGTATTGCTGGATCTCGAGGAAGGTTGAGGAAACAGACAACTTAACTTTTGCTGTCCACATCAGAATCCAGACCTGACACTACATAGTCCAGCGTGCTCTGGGACTGTGGAAATCTATTCACAGCCAACACTGTGCCTCACATAGGCTTCTCAGACTCTACCGCCAGTTGCTGCCTCTGAGGAAGCCAGCCTTTCTCAGGACCCAGCACGCAGAGGCTCCTCGGCCTCCACACCTCTGGGCAGGGAGTGCAATGGTCCGGTGCACTCAGCCAGGCAGTGAGGCAGCACAGGGCACAAAGAGCTGCCTCAAGTGACGCAGAGCCATTCATGCTTGGCCCTGCTACTGCCAAGACGGCCTGGCTCAGAGGATGCCCCGCTGGGGGTGCACAGCTCTTCGTGTACCTGGTCAGCCGCCCATGGGGTACTTTTAAACACATGTTTTCTAATCCATAGAACAAACCTGATTGGATAATTTGAAAATTATCCTGTAACAGATCTATGAATGAAAATCATCTCTGCAAAGTTTGCCCCTTTGGGGATCCTGTGTTTTACAGTTCATCAGCCACTCCCATCACCCATTTCCTGAGCGGTCCCCCAAAGCTGGACTGGGGTGCAACCTGCAATAATGAGCCCGGTGCGGCTCCGGGAGGCTGGGTCGGAGAGAACAGTGTGGACTCCGGAGCAGGTTTCACCCTCCTGGTTGGCTGTACTTGCTTAGAATGGACTTGATTAAAGCAGAAAAGCATTTGCTTTTCATTTTGAAACATCCTATAACATATAAAGTTGGAGTTCAGGACATTAAAAGTGCACCGTTCTAAATGAACTCCATCATTTTTCTCACACTGCCTCTTTGCTTTTAACAATCTCTTGTTTATGTAAGTTTCCTTACTAAACCTCTCTATACATATGGTCATATGGTTTGGTTAATTGGACATAATCCTTTTCTTTTCCCTTGGTTTTTCGAGACAGGGTTTCTCTGTGTTGCTTTGGAGCCCATCCTTGTAGACCAGGCTGGCCTTGAAGACACAGAGATCCTCCTGCCTCTGCTTCCTGAGTGCTGGGATTAAGGACATGTGCCACCACCTCCCAGCTAATTTGACCTAATGCTATAGCTTCTCTCAGTACTCTTAGGCAATTATTCTTCAAGTGCGTCTTTAAGAATTCCTACT